TATATAATGTGTGTCTTCTGCTTATGGGTTACCTCACTCAGGATGATCTTTTCTAGTTCCACCGTCTGCCTGAAAATTTCATGATTTCCTTGTTTTTAATTGCTGAGTAGTATTCCATTGTGTTAATGTACCACAATTTCTGTATCCATTCCTTGGTTAAGGGACATCTAGATAGTTTCCAGGTTCTGGCTATAAAAGCTGCTACAAACATGGTTGAACAAATGTCCTTGTTGTACACTTGAGGATATTTTATATATATGCCTTGGAGTGGTATAGCTGGAACTTGAGGAATCACTATTCTTAATTGTCTGAGAAAGCACCAGATTGATTTCTGAAGTGATTGTGCAAGTTTACATTCCCACCAGCAGTGGAGGAGGGTTCCCCTTTCTCCACATCCTCTCCAGCATGTGTTGTCACTTGAGTTTTTCATCTTGGCCATTCTGATGAGTGTAAGGTGGAATTCAAGGTCGTTTTGATTTACATTTCCCTGATGCCTAAGGATGTTGAAGATTTCTTTAAGTGTTTCTCTACCATTCGATAGTCCTCTCTGTTGAGAATTCTCTGTTTAGCTCTATGCCCCACTTTTAATTGGATTACTTGGTTTAGCTTCTTCAGTTCTTTATATATTCTGGATATTAGCCCTTTATCAGATGTAGGGTTGGTGAAGATCCTTTCCCAATCTGTAGGCTGTAGTTTTGTTCTGATGACAATGTCCTTTGCTTTACAGAACTTTTCGGTTTCATAAGGTCCCATTTATTGATTGTTGATCTTAGAGCTTGTGCTGTTGGTGTTCTGTTCAGGAAGTTGTCTCCTGTGCTAATGACTTCAAGGCTCTTCCCCACTTTTTCTTCTAACAGATTTAGTGTATCTGGTTTTATATTGAGGTCTTTGATCTGCTTGAACTATAGTTTTGTGCAGGGTGATAAATATGTATCTATTTGCCTTTTTCTACCTGTAGATATCCAGTTAGACCAGCACCATTTGTTGAAGATGCTGTCTTTTTTCTTTTGTAAACCATAAAATTATTTTGTTGTTACTTGGTGGCTGTAGTTTTGCTACTGTTATGATTCATAATGTAAGTACCTGATATGCAGGATATCTGATATACGACTCCTATGAAAAGCTCACTCGATTCCAGGGGGTTGCAGCCACAGGTTGAGAACCTTTGTTTTAGCCAGAAGTAAACACAACCTAGTTCCTGTCTTCATTGTAATTTTTGAGGATGTCTTCAGGAAAACATCACCTGGTCCTAAGTGATGACAGCCCATTTAGTCTCTCAAACAAGATGTCCTTTGAAGAACATATACAGTGTCAATGGGCCTTTAGTTCCTTGTCAGTGGGTCTGACGTAGGTCTTGTTCAACACTCAGAATAGCAGACCAGGTCTCTGGAGCATAGCTCTTTCCTCAGCAAGCCCCTCTCTCCCCACTTCACCTCAGTTCTGTATCCTGCCTCAGGCTGTCCAACAGAAATACCTGCCATCGGCTTGCCCTAATTAGCACTATGGAATTCTCTCCAGATTTATCTGTGTCTCAATTTCCTGTAAAGAGTCTAATTGTGGGTTAGTCTATGTTTCGCCCCTGGGCTTCTCAATATAGTAGATTGATGATTTCATCAGTTGTTTCAAAGGACCTAGCAGTGATCTTTCCAAATACAGGGATTTCTCAACTTATGCTGAAGTTGCATCTCAATAAATCAAGTCAGGATTAACCTTAATAAAATGAACATACAAGTGAACTTTAAATTTCTTTACATTCCTTTTGTGTGTGGGTATGCACATAGGGGTGCACAAATGCCACGGTGTGTCTGTGGGTGTCAGAGGCCTGCTTATGAGAGTTGGATTTCAGATGTGGACTCCCATCTGAATCCTAAGGCCACCCAAGAGTCGGCACTTCATTCATTCATTCATGTGGATATGATGCTGGAATGAAACCAGAGCTGCCTGCTTGCTTGGCCAGCACTCTACCAACTGAGCTATATTCACAGATCTTAGCTCAGTTCCTTAGGCACATGAGGCCATGTCCTTGTTTGCATTTTTATTTTGTTAATGATGAATAATGTTAAGCATCCTTTCATGAGTGTGAATGCCTGTGTGTGCACAGGTGCATGTGGGGACCAGAAGACAAGCTCAGGTCTCACTCCTCGGATGCCGGTCTGTTTTATTTTCACGTAGACTGTGTTCTAGCACCATTTGCTGAAAAGACTCCTTTCGTGTATTGCCCCCCTACTTACAGATACGTCTATTTGCTTTAGATGGTAGATGAGCGACACGGATAGGGTGAATTTCTCATGTTTTCTGGATGAGTCTATTATTTCTGCATCTGATACCATCTGGTGAGGATCCTCCTTTCTGTGTTTTTGTCTTGGAGTTAAAATTCTTGGACAGCATAATTAGGTTAGGCTTTCCTTTGGATGGTTTTAGCATATCCAGTTTTGTTTTGTTTTTTTTTTTTTTGAGAAGACTGAATCTAGTACAGTGCACATACTACACAAGCACTCTTCTGCTGATCCATAAATCAGCCTCTTTATTTTTATTTATATATACCTCAAGATTATATCTTATTTATTTTTCTGTCTATCATCTATCATATGCATGAGTCTTTTGCCTGTGTACCACATGCATGCCTGGTGCCCAAGGAGGCCAAAATATGTCAGGTGCCCTTGAACTGGAGCTACTGGTGCTTGTGAGCCATCTGATATGGGCTGTGATAACCAAATGGGGTTTGCTACAAGATCAGCAGGTACTTTTACCCCTGAGCTGCACTCCCACCACCATCACAAGCTACCATGTGGGTGCTGGGCTATGAACCCAGGTTCTCTGGAAGAGCAGCCAGAGCTCTTAAGCACTGAGCCATCTCTCCAGCCTCACTTTTTCTTTGAGATGGGGTTTTCAATACGTTGCCTGGGCTCACCTTGACTTCACTATGTTTGTAGGCAGACTCTGAACTTGTAATCCTCCTGGCTCAGTCTCTGAAGTAGCTGGGCTTCTAGGCCTGTGCCACTGGACTCAGCTACCTGTTGATATTTATAGCTGGTTTATGGCAGAAGCGTATCGTGTGGTATAATACTGTTACCATAATAACATCATCAGTATTGTTCAGTATTTATTAGCATTGCACCTGGTATCACCACAGTTAGAGGTACCAGGAATTCTCTTAAGTTTGTTTATGTGTATGCATTTGCCTGAATGTGTGTAGATACATCACGTATGTGCCATGCGTGCAGAGCCCATAAGAATGTACCAGATTCCCCTAGAGCTAAAGTTACAGGCAGCTGTAAGGCCCCTTGTGTGGGTACTGGTAACCAAACCTGGGTTCTCTGCAGCAGTGCGGAATGCTCTTAACTGCTGAGACATCACTCCAGCCCCACCGTTCACTCCAGAGTACTAAATCTCATCTTGTTGGTTTCTAAGTGTTGTTGCAGTGTTGTCAGCCTGTGGGTTGTGACTCCTTTGGGGAGATGAAGGGCTAGTTCACAGGGATCACCTAAGATATTTATGTTACTATTCATAAAGTAAAAAAATTCCGGTTATGAAGAAGCAATGAAAATAACTTTATGGTTTGAGGTCACCAAAACGCGAGGAAGTGTGTTAAAGGGTCATAGCATTAGCAACATTGAGAACCAGTTTGTTATTGTTTTGATGGGCCTTTCAGTGGGATGAGAGCTAAAGTGAGCCCATACTGAAGAACTCCCTGCCTTTTCTTATCGTCCGCAATGAACAGTGTATTATGCACTAAGTTAGTGACCAAATGTACGTGTGGAGATGGGGCGGGGAGTGTGTGTGGAAGCCAGATATTGACATCAAGTATTCTCCTCAATTATTCTCACCATATTTTTGAGACAGGATCTCTTAGTAAACGTGGAGCTCACCAACTATGGCTAGACAGGCTGGCCAGCCGGCCTCAGGGAGCCTCCTGTGTCTGCCTTCCCAGCACTGTGATTACAGGACTGTGCCATCACACCCTACTTCTTTTCTTTACATACAACATATCCTGACTACAGTTCCCCTGCCTCCACTCCTCCTAGACCCCCTCATACACACCTCCCCTTACCCCTAGATTCACTCCTTTAGTTTCATTCTAAAAATAAAAAGCCTTTCAGGGGTATCAACTGGACACAACATAACAAATTAAAATAAGACTAGGCACAAACTCTCATATCAAGGCTGGCAAGGCAACCCAGTAGGAGAAAAGGGTCCCAAACACAGGCAAAATATCAGAGAAAGCCCCCCCCATCCCATTCCCACTGTTAGGAGTCCCAGAGAAACACCAAGCTACACAACTATAACAGATGCAGAAGACCTAGCTCAGAGCCATGCAGTCTCCATAATTGTCTCATCAGTCTCTGTGAGCACTACTTAGTTGATTCTGTGGGTTGTGTTCTCATAGTATTCTTGACCCTTCTAGCCTCCCCTTCTTCTGCAAGGTTCCCCTAGCTTCACCTAATATTTGGCTGTGGTCTGTGCATCTGCTCCTCTCAGTTCCTGAACGATGCCTCACTGATGACAGCTGGCCTAGGTACCGATCTATGAATATAGCAGAGTATCATTAGGAATCATTTCATTGCCTTTTGTTTTGTCTGCCAGTTGTGTTTGGTTCTATCCTGAGTCTCTAGGCTGACCAGCCTCTGGTTCCAGTCTATTCATGGACCCCCTTTCATGGCATGGCCCTAAGTTGGACCAGTCATTGGTTGACCATGCTTACAAATTCTGCGCCGCCAGTGCCCCAGCTCATCTCACAGGCAGGAAGTGCCCCAGCTCATCTCACACCAGGTTGCTGGTTTTATGGCTGCACACCTTGCTTCTTACATGAATGCTGGGAATCTAACTTACATCTTCACACTTGCACCATGAACACTTTGCCAGCCCAACCATCTACCCCAGCCCTTTGACCTGATTTTTTTTTTAAGTAACTCAGCTGCTTGCCTAATTTTCTCACAGATCCTGTCTGATACTTCTGATACTCATCTCTCTGAAGACGTGTCTATCTTCCTTAAAACAGGATGGCATCTTTCTTTTCTGAGTTTGGCCTTATGTGGTACTTGGAAGAGCTAAACAAGAAGGAATTTATAAAGTTTAAGGAGTTCCTCAAACAGGAGATTCTACAGTTGGGGCTGAAACAGATTTCCTGGACCGAGGTGAAGAAGGCGTCTCGGGAAGACCTTGCCAACTTACTGGTGAAACATTATGAGGAGAAGCAAGCCTGGGATATAACCTTCCAAATCTTCCAGAAGATCAACAGGAAGGATCTCAGTGAGAAGGCAGCAAAAGAGATTGCTGGTGAGTTTGTCAAACCTTCTTTGTAGTGAGTGAGGATTGTGTCATAGTTGAGATAGCTATTCTTCATGCTCGTTCACCATAGAAACAGCAGGTGTCGTGGGGTATTTTTCTCCTGGAGGAAGGAGGCAGCTTCATGTGGACATGTTAGCTCGAGTCTGTGTGGCCAAACATATGAGGGTATCATCCCCTAACCAAGATCGCTAAACTTCTACCCTCACATCTACACTGGAGACTTAACTCTAGAGGGAAATAGCAGCACTGTGGATTTAGGCTAACAGCAACAGAAAACACCTGCTATAGGCTGTATTTTTGGGGTCAAGGAGGGTGGCTGAGTCTGTAAAGTGCTTGCTGTGTAAACATGAGAATCTGACTTCGGATCTCAGCAATCACATAAAAGTCAGGCATGGTAGCAAGCTGACCAGTCAGCTTGGTAAGTCCTAAGCCAGCTGAAAAAATTGTCTCAAAAAATGGAATGGAGGGGCTGGAGAGATGTCTCAGTGGTTAAGAACACCTGCTCTTACAGAGAACTTGGGCTCAGTGTCCAGAACCTACATGGTGGTTCACAACCACCTGTAACTCCAATTTTAGGGGACCCAATGCCATCTCTTGTCCTCTGCAGGCACAGCATACATCTGGTACACATACATGCATACAGACAAATACACTCATACAATACAAACAAATAAATCTCTTTTGAAGTGAAGAGTGTTGAAGAAGACACCCAGTGCCAACCTCTGGCCTCCACAAGCACGTATACTGTACCCCTCCCCTCACTCCCCTCCCACATGCACATCACGTATTTTAAACAACTGTGTAACACAGCGTGAAACAAGACTTCTCAGTCTTTGTTGTGCTGTGTCTGTTTTGATCTTTAACAAGCAAAAGCTTATAATGAAAAGCTGTGTTTCATAAACACTGATTTTAATAGTCACATTTATGTTTATCCTGATATAGAGATCATGGATGCTTTACAGTTCAGTTCATTTGTCTTTGAGGTGCCAGTGTACCCTTGGTGCACAAGTGGAGGTCAGAGGATAACATTTGAGAGTCAATTCTGTTTCTGTCATTTGGATTTCAAGGACCAGACTCAGGTCATCAGGCTTGATGGCAAATGTCCCTAAGACATCTCATCAGCTCCCGTCTTTTGATTCTTAAATTTAGTTAAGGCATTTTACACCTGCAGTTTGCCTTGGTTTTCCTCAGTACACCCTGACTGTGCAACCTGCCTTTTATTTTTATTGAGCACCTTTAAAAAATTGTTGCACTTAGCATATAAAACATTTCAGTATGAATTTTGTGTGTGTGTGTATGTATTATGTATGCATGTATGTATATATCATTGTGCTTTGCTTATAGTTCCCCCATGGTGAGTCTCCCTTCTCTCTTTCCCTTCCACTAATTCCCTCTGGCCCCCTAAATAGTCCCCTTTTTCTTTCATGCCATATATATGGGAGATTGTAAATGCTGAACATTTTAAGGTTATCTTTTTTTAAATTTCATGTATGTGTTTGGGTTTATGTGTGTAATTGCAGTTCCGGCAGAGGCCAGACCCTCTGGAGCTGGGACATACACTGTTGTGAGCCACCTGATGTGTGTTTTGAAAACCATTCTCTGGTCTTCTTCAAGAGCAGCTAGTGCTCTTAACTACTGAGCCATCTCTCCAGCCCCATTATTCTATACTTTTAATGTCAGTGTGATATAACCTGTTTTCATTATTATATAGTCACTCTTCTGTTGATAGTGATTTGGTTTTTTTTTACAGTTTTGTGCTGTCATGCCAGCCATTTGTAATCACACTTTCTTGGGTATCTGTATATGTGGCAGGGGTTGACAAATACTCATGTTTGAGTGAGGAAACGATGCAGTCTGCTGCACCTTGTTGGTCTTTGGTGTTTATGTTGTCCTAGTAGGACAGCTTTGTGCAGCACGGGTTCTACTGGTCCAGAAAATCATCTATGATAACCATGATTTTTGTTTTGAATGAACACATTTATTAAGTACATAGCAAGTCAAAGTAAAATAAATAAATAGTAAATGATAGATATAAGTGATAGGTAGGTAGGTTGGTAGGCAGGTAGGCAGGTTCGTAGGTAGGTAGGTAGATAGATAGATAGCAAAACATCATGAAATTGGACACTCAAAATGTCTAATAGAAATTGACTAGGAATCCCTCTTTAAGGCAGACACCTGGAGTTCCGAAGCAGAGCAGAGTATCCTCTCAAGTGATATTCCCAATTGAAAGAGCAAATAATGATAGGAAGGTTACATCATCAAATCAGGCTCTGATAACATCATCAAATTGTGTTCTCACAATATCCAGCAGAAACCAGCTGGGGAAGGTGGGGTTAGTTGGAGCTGCCAATTGAGCTATCTCTGCATGGTCAAGTTTCCCATGGTTCTAACTTAGGCTTCTTTTTCCATTGCAGGCATTTTTATATCATGGGATAAATAGCCATAAAATCTCCTAGAAATGGTTCTTTTTTTTTTTTTTTTTTTAGCTGTTCTCGATGGCATGTATTTTTACTCTTGAGCTCTTTTATTCTCTTCCCTTTCTATTACAGAGTTGGGGGTCAGTCCATTCCCAGACAGGAACCCACCCAAGACATTTGACTTACACATTCTTTGTTCTAAACTGAGGAGGAGGGGCAACCCCTATTCCAGTGCCAGCCTCTGAATCAGCACACGGCAGTTTAACAATCCAGCATTCATGACACGCAGAAATGCAAGCTGTGATCCGGGGCCAGGGACAATCTTACATTAACCAGTGTTCTGGTCCCACAGCTCCCAGATTCCTAGAAACATGCATCGTAAGGATGCTGAGGAAATGACTCACTGGCTAGAAGAATGTCCCACTCTTGCAGAGGACCTGAGTTCAATAGGGTCCATGTGGGGTGGCTCATGGACAGCTGTAACTAAGCTCCAGGCAGGGATTTAACACCTCTGACCGCCCCAAGAACCCACCAACACACACATAATTAAAAATCTTTTATAAGGGTACATCTGAGAATTAAATATCAAGGTCAGATTATATATTGGTGAATGTTTAACTTAACTTTGATATGTTGTGGAATTTTTGTTTTATTGCACACTGACTCAGGAAACCCAAAGATATATCAAGCTTATTTGAAGAAGAAGCTGACCCAAGATTGGTCCAGAAAGTTAATCATCAGAGGTCAGGATTCCTTTAAGCAAGAATTGACCCAGGAAGACTATGCTTATTTTGAGGACCTTCTTGTATCAAAGGCAACTGGAAAGAAGCCACAGATGGTGTTGTGCAAGGAGTGGCAGGAATTGGCAAGACCCTGATGTTGGCAAAGTTGATGCTGGCCTGCTCGGATGGCCGTGTGTTTCTATTCTCCTACATCTTCTGCTTCTGCTGTGATGAAGTGAAACAATTGAAGACAGCAAGCCTGGCTGAATTGATCTCCAGAGAGTGGCCCAGCCCCTCAGCTCCCATAGTGGAGATAATTGTCCCAACCTGAGAAACTCTTATTTATCATTGACGGCTTGGAAGGGATGAAATGTGATTTGACCGAATGGGAATTAGAGATGTGTGATAATTGGATGGAGAAGCAGCCAGTGAATATACTGCTGAGCAGTTTGCTCAGGAGGAAGCTACTCCCTGAATCCTCTCTCCTCATCTCAGCTACACCAGAGGCTTTAAAGAAAATGGAGGGTAGGAGTGAGTGCACAAATATGGAAATAATAACAGGACTCAGTGAGAACAGTATTAAGAGGTATTTCCACAGCTTGTTCCGAGATAGGAACAGAGCCCGGGAAGCCTACAGTGTTGTGAGAGAAAATGAGCATCTGTTTGCTCTGTGTGAGGTCCTTCTGATCTGCTGGATGGTGGCTACTTATTTGAAAAAAATAGAGAAGGGAAGAGAGCCAGTCGCCATCTGCCGACGTACCCTCCCTGTATACCACTCACATCTTCAATTTGTTCATTCCCCGAAGTGCCTGCCATCCAAGTAAGAAAAGCCAAGCCCAGCTGCAAGGCTTGTGCTCCCTGGCTGCAGAAGGCATGTGGACTGGCACATTTGTGTTCAGCGAGGAGGCTCTCAGGAGAAATGGGATCATTAGTTCTGACATCTCCACACTGCTGGACATGAGGATACTTCTAAAGAGCAGGGAACCTGAAAACTGTTACATATTCCTCCACCCATCCATCCAGGAGATCTGTGCTGCTGTCTTTTATCTACTAAAGAGCCATGTGGACCACCCTAGTCAGGATGTTAAATGTGTAAAGACACTCATATTTATGTTTTTAAAGAAAGTCAAAGTACAGTGGATTTTTTTGGGCTGTTTCATCTTTGGCCTTTTGCACGAATCAGAACAAGAAAAGCTAGTGACGTTTTTTGGCTACCAGCTGTCCCAGGAAATAAAACAGCAGTTGTATCAGTGCCTTGAAACCATTAATGCTGATGACGAGCTTCAAGAACAAATAGACGGCATGAAGTTATTTTACTGTCTGTTTGAGATGGAGGATGAGGCCTTCTTAGTGCAAGCAATGAGCTGTATGAGACAGATTAACTTTGTGGCTAAAGATTATTCTGATTTTATTGTTGTCGCCTACTGCCTAAGACATTGTTCTGCACTGAAGAAACTATCGTTTTCAACCCAAAATGTCCTACATGAAGAACATGAACAAAGCTATATGTGAGTCCATTTACTCTCTCTTCTGTCCCATTTTCAGAGTCCTATTTTTGTGTATTGTTCATTTATATAGACTTGTGATTCAGAACTCACCCCTGTTGGTTGTCCAGTGGCAAGTGGTCATCCTAGAAAACACATACAAAGAAGAAAAACAGACTCAGCAGGTTGTGTGTGTATGTATACGTATGTATACATATATATATGTGTATGCATGTGGATGTATATATGTACGTGCATATATAAATGTATATATGTACATACATAAATATAAACAAAACAAAAAGGCTGTCAGCTTGAGAATTGGGTATGCACAACAGGTGTAGGAGAGGAAGAGTGATATAATTCTATTTCAATTAAACATTTTAAAAAATAAATTTAAAAACAAAATAGAGCTGTTCAGGGGGAAAACAACAAATTTACCTTTTGTCAACAGCTTCAACTTTTTTTCAAGGCTGGAAACACTATTTGCAAAATGACAATATTTGTATCATTTAAAGATTCTATGCAATCACAATTCCTATTTTTCTTTTTTTAAATAAAATTTGGCAAACCAAACTTAAGAATAAAATTTGAAGGATCCAAACTACGCAAAAACAAACAAACAAATGAAAAATATAACATTGAAAAAATCAACATGTGTCTGTGAAGGACAGATGTTTCTTGCTCTTCAAATATACCAGAGAGCATAATAATAGAAATATCACACAAGTATGATTGTGGACATAAAGGTCAGTAGAGCAAAATGGAGGATATAGAAGTGTACTCAATTATACACTATTAGTTCATTATATTGTTGCTGTGAAAAGATAACAGAAATGACTTAGTCTCTAAATATTTTCCTTTAATTTTCAGAGATTTGAGTCCTTCATCATATGTTGGGTGTGGCAGAGCAGTTCTCATCATGACAGCCAATTAGAATAGCAGTGTCATAAAAGAGCCAGGGCAAAATAAACCCTTCAAAGGCACTTGCCCAGTAGCCCTCTTCTGGGCTAGCCACTATCTGCCATAGTTCTACCAGTCCCCAGTAGTTTATTCAGACTGTGTTCTATCAATAGATCATGTACTCATTAGGTCAGAGTTCTCATGAGCTAATATCTGCAGAAAGCCTCGCTTATACATATCCTAGAATTTTTTTAGTCCAGACAAACTGACAGATAACAGTCAACTGATTTTCAACAATGAAAAAAATTTACTAAAGGAATAAAAAAAATCTTCATTCTCAACAATTTCACACAGGAATAAATAGTAGGAAATGGGTTTATATTGAACCATTCTTCCCTCTAATTCCTTACCTCTTCTTGTGTGTCCCCCTACAAAGTTTAAGGTAGAGTAAAAATACAAACAACTTTACCAGCTGTGTAGCATTCTTTGTTTTTAAATTTTTATTAATTATTTATTACAATTCATTCACTTTGTAGCCCAGCTGTGGCCCTCTCCCTCCTTCTCCTCCCATGCCCCTCACCAAGCCCACTGATAGGGGAGATCCTCCTCCCCTTCCATCTGACCCTAGCCTATTAGGTCTCATCAGGACTGGCTGCATTGTACTCCTCTGTGGCCTGGTAGGGCTGCTCCACACTCACAGGGAGGTGATCAAAGAACCAGCCACTGAGTTCATGTCAGAGGCAGTCCCTGTTCCCTTTACTGGGAACCTACTTGGACACTAAACTCCCATAGGCTACATTTATGCAGGGCTTCTAGGTTGTTTCCAAGCATGGTCCTTGGTTGGGGTATCGGTCTCTGCAGGGCCCCCAGGGGCCAGTTTTAGCTTCAACTTTTTTAATATTTATTTTTATTTTATGTGTATGTGGCTACTCAGTGGCCAGAAGAGAGCATCACATCCCCCGGAGCAATAGTTAACTGCCCAGTGTAGGTTCTGGGATCCAAATTCTTACTCTGAAGAAACATAAGCACTCTTAAGTTAACCACTAAACTGTCTCCCATTCAACAGGCTTAAATCTTATTACTATTTATTCTTGGGTCTTTTGTTTGTTTGTTTCTTTTTTTTTTGTTGGGGGGGGTTGTTTTGTTTTTTGAGACAGGATCTCACTATGTAGCTGTGTCAAGCCTGGAACGCAGATATCCTTCTGCCTGTCTCCAGAGTACTAGGATTAAAGACATGCATCACCATGACTGGCTATTTTTGTTATTTATTAGTTGTGCATATTTATGGAGTGGCAGTGATGTATCAGTTCATATATACAGGAAGTAGCTCAGTTGGCAGAGTACCGCCTGTTCCAATGGGTCCTAGATTTGTTACCCAGCATCATATAAAACTGAGTATAGGTACATGCCTGTAATTCAAGCACTCAGGTGGTAGAGGCGGAGCAGAAGCACAGGGTCATCATTGGTTATATATAGTAAGTGCAGGACAAGCCTAAACTGCATAAGACAGTGGATCTACAGAATAACAAATGTTAACCCACTAAGCCATGGATGGGGTCCCACACTTGCAACTCCAGCACTCAGGAAACAGGCAAGAGGATCCATGAGCATTTTAAATTAGTCTGGACATACAGAGGGAGTTCCAGGTAAGTCTGGTCTAAAGAGTGAAATCCTGTCTCCAATAAGGAAAATCAAACAACAAAAATACATGTGTAAAATTTATGATCTCTTGAATCTTTTTCTTTCCATCCTGAGGCTACAATCCAGGGCCTATACCAGGCTAGCCCTTTACCAGGCACTGCAGCTCCAGATCATTTATTTTTGAGACATGGTGTAGTCTTCTCTTTGTTCTGTAATCAAGGCTGGCTTTGAACTTCTAATCTTCTGTAGCAATAGAATAGGTTGACTCTTTAGGAGCCCTGGAACTTATCCTTGGGACTTTCCTTTTCTTTTTTTTTTTAATCTTTTATTTATTTTTTATTAATTACACTTTATTCATTTTGTATCCCCCCATAAGCCCCTCCCTCCTCCCCTGCCGATCCCACCCTCCCTCCCCTTTCTGCATGCATGCCACTCCCCAAGTCCACTGATAGGGGAGGTCCTCCTCTCCTTCTTTCTGATCTTAGTCTATCAGTTCTCATCAAAAGTGGCTGCATTGTCCTCTACTGTGGCCTGGTAAGGCTGCTCCGCCCCCAGGGGGAAGTGATCAAAGAGCAGGCCAATCAGATTATGTCAGAGGCAGTCCCTCTTCCCATTACTATGTAACCCACTTGGACACTGAACTGCCATGGGCTACACCTGTGCAGGGGTTCCAGGTCATCTCCACAAATAGTCCTTGGTTGGAGTAGGAGTCTCTGGGAAGTTCCCTGTGTTCAAATTATCTTGTTCTGTTGCTCTGCTTGTGGAGTTCCCGTTCCCTCCAGCTCTTACTATTTCCCACTTCTTACATAAAATTCCATTCACTCTGCCCATCAGTTGGCCATCAGGCTCAGCATCTGCTTTGACAGTCTATACTGCAGAAGCTTTCAGAGGCCCTCTGTGGCAGGTTTCAAGGTGGTTTCCTGTTTTCTTCTGACTTTCCTTTTCTTAGTTATAGTGGCCTTGTTATCAAAGCAGCAATGCTATTAACCCACCACACTGGGAGGATAGAGAGGGACGATATTTGTCAAGTGCGTGTCCTGCCCCTCTGATCTCCTGGCTGCAAACTTCCATTTAAAAGTCAAATGTTACCGGGAATATGGGGATGGCTCAGCTGCTGCACAAGTGTGAGAATGTCAGTTTCATCCCCAGGACCCAAATTTTTCTTTTCTTTTCTTTTTCTTTTTTATTTTTTCTTTTCTTTTCTTTTCTTTCTTTTTTTTTTTTTTGAGAAGGCTGTGCAGAGCAGGACCCACATTTTTCTTTCTTTTCTTTTCTTCCTTCCTTCCTTCCTTCCTTCCTTCCTTCCTTTCTTTCTTTCTTTCTTTCTTTCTTTCTTTCTCTCTTTCTATTTTTTTTTTTTGAGAAGGCTATCCCAGCACTAAGGAGGCAGAGACTTGGCTTCCATATGTGAGCACACACATGTGCATGAACTCACAAATGTACACACAAAAACATATAATAGATTGACTTATTTCATACTTGGAAATCATATAAAGTGAGCTGGCAAAATGGCTCAGCAGATTAATGGTGCCTGCCCTCAAGTCTGATGACCTAAGGATTCCTGGTTGTCCTTGGACCTCTACACACCTGATGCCACACATACACACACACAGAAAGAGAGAGAGAGAGAATAAGAAATGTTATAAGGTAAATTGATTATTCTGCTAGAAGTGAGGGAGGAGGCAGAGAAGTCACATATATTATGTAGGACTTATACTGTGTATAAGTAGTCGCATCTAAAGCTTAAGCCGGGAGATTCTTGCTCTAGGTTTTGACTCAGTGGCTCTGGGATTCTGCCTCATTTTTCATTCTGAAACCACCAAGATTGCCTTTAAGGCAGGTTTTCAGGACCACCAGGCCATCTGTGTGCTCTTCTGCTGCTGTGTAAGTAGGAAGGGGAGGGGAAAGTCCCAAACGAGCCTGGTCCCCAATGTGTGGGATTCTCAGAGTTCTCTGGCCATTACCCAGTAGACATTAAGTACCCTCTACCCTCCAGCTACAACAGCTGGAATCCCGACAGACCTTGCCACACATCTGGCTAAGAACTGTAGCGTGAGATGGACTTAGCTGGCCACCCCTCCTCTGTTGAGGGAGTCAGTTTGCCTCATTTATGTGCTAGGAGTGCCTGCGTGTGTGCCTGTATAGTGTGTGCGTACAGTGCCAGTGCTGCCAGAGAGGGTGTCGGATAATGCTGGAATTGAACCTAGAGATGGCTGTGAGCCACCGTCTTAGTGCTGGAAACTGGACTCAGGGCCTCTGCACAAACAGCAAATGCTCTTAACCACTAAGCCACTTCTCCAGCCCCTTGAGTTAACTTTTAAACAATGAAATGTATTCCTTTCTCTTCCATTACAGGGAAAAGTTACTCATCTGTTGGCATCATATGTGTTCTGTTCTCATAAAGAGCAAGGATATCCGGCTACTCCAAGTAAAAGACACTCATCTCAGTGAGCCAGCCTGTTTGGTCTTGTATAATCATTTGATGTATCCAAGCTGCAACCTTCAAGTACTTGAGTAAGTTAAAGCTGGACTTTAATTTAGTGGTAATATGGAGGTAACAGTCTAGTCTTCCCATCTTCTTGCAGCTAACTGCATAAATGAAGGCTTCTACAGTCTAAAGTAGAATCTCACCGGCGTGGCACCACTAATGTCTGTTGCTGACCATTCTTCATTGAGGGCTGTCCCATGAGTTATAAGATGATGAGAGTGTGTCCACTTTGTTTATGCTGGTGTGACAGCCGGCATTGCTCCAAATATTTTACAGAGTTTACATGGAAGAGAAAAATTAGCCAGTTTGAGAACAAGTGAGCAGTGTTACTGCATTATGAAATTAGAGTTATGCCCTCATTATACGATGTAGGATCTTTGCAAAGACTGAGAGCTTAGACTGGGTATAAACAGATAAGATACCTCTGTTTATTTTGCAGGGTAAATAGTGTGTCCTTCTTATGTGATACTCACCTGTTCTTTGAGTTGATAAATCAGAGCCGCAGTTTGCTGCACTTGGACCTCAGCCTCACATTCCTCTCTGAGACTGATGTAAAACTATTGTGTGATGTCTTGAACCAGGAAGAGTGCAACATAAAAAATCTGAGGTAAGTTTGTGTTCACCAACTCACTATTCCCCTCAAAGGAGGCATCTTAATTTTGATCCCTCTTGCTGTTATAAAAATGCCCTGACCTCAGCACCATTAGAGAAAAAAAGGTTTATTGGATTCAGAATTCCAGCTTATAGGCTATCGCTGTGGGAAGTCAGGGTAGGAAAAACTAACCTGGAAGCATAGTGGCATCACATCCACAATCAAGGACAATGAGCAGTGGATTAATGCATGCTTGCTAGTGCTCAAGTTTCTCTACCCCTAAACAGTTCCGGATCCTCTTTCCTGAGGAATGGTGCCACCCCCAGTGGGCAGATAACACCATCTCACCTAACTTCATCAAGGAATCACCCATACACATGTCCACAGGTCATCCCCATCGAGAGAACCCCTCACTGAGACTCCCTTTCTAGGTGATTCTATTGTGTCAGGTTGATAATTTAAAACACCACAGGACTACAGTTTTTAATTTATGCACTTACGTCCTATTTTTATGTTGTTCATGTGCAAACTTAAGAACTGATCAGAGCTAGCCAAAGAGATGGATCAGTGGGTTAAGGCACTTGCTGCCACCCTACTACCTGAGTTCTAGCCCGGGACCTCCATGGAGAAAGGAAAGAAGCCACTTCACAGGTTGTCCTCTTTTATTCCACATTCTACACATGTCCTTTTGCATGCTGTAGCATAGGTGCTCATGTGTGCACACTTGTGTTAATAAATAAATGAATGTGATTCTTAAAATGTAAAACACTGGGCTGTTAAGATATTTGTTGCTCTCCCAGAGGACCCGAGTTCACTCCTCAGCACCCACGTGGTGGTTCACAACCACCTGTATCTCTAGTTCCAGTGGATCTGATAATCTTCTGACATCTGCAGGTACCAGGCATGCATGTGGTGCCCAGACACATGCAGGCAAAACACACATGAAGTAAAAATGAGTAAGTCTAAATTTTTAAAAGTTTGCCTGACTGTGGAATGTCAAGGTTACACACTTTTTTTTTCTTTATTAATTACACGTTACTCACTTTGTATCCCCCCCCGTGGTTCACACTTTGACTGTGAAAATATATAGTTTGGAACCATTGCTTCTGTTTGGCTTTTGTGGATTCTAAAATGCCTTAGACTCAGCTCACACTGAGTGTACGTTCTATGGTTACATGACTCCATTTGCCGATAGATAGGTGCTTCCTGAACCATTCATGGCAGGTGTTCAAACCTGATAATTTGAAGTTCTGCCTGACAGTAAGCTAGATGAGAAACCTGTGGTTATTGAACATATCTAGGTGGATCTCAGATGTTGCTGATAGCATAAATTTGATTAAAAATGATTCCATGTGAAATAATCAAACTCAGGACTGAAATCAATAAATTAGAAACAAATAAAACAATTTGAAGAATCAAAGAAACCAAGAACTGGGTCTTTGAGAAAGTCAACAAGATAGACAAACACTTAGCCAAATAACTAAAAGGCAGAGAGATACTATCCAAATTAACAAAATCAGAAATGAAAAGGGGGACATAACAACAGACACTAAGGACATCCAAACAATCATTAGGACTTACTTCAAAAGTTTTATGCCACAAAAATTGAAAATCTAAATGAAATAGACAATTTTCTTGAATAAAGAAAAGGTAAATCAATTAAGTAGTCCTATATCCCCCAAGGAAATAGAAGCGGTCATCAAAAGTCTCCCATTCAAAAAGAGCCCAGGGCCAGTTGGTTTCAGTGCAGAATTCTACCAGACCTTCAAAGAAGAGCTAACTCCAATTCCTTTCAAACTATTCCACAAAATAGAAACAGAAGGAACATTGCCAAACTCATTCAGTGAAGCCACAATCACCTTGGTACCTAAACCTCACAAAGACCCAACAAAGAAAGAGAATTTCAGGCCAATCTCTCTTATGAACATTGAAGCAAAAATACTCAACAAAATACTTGCAAACCCAATACAAGAATACATCAAAGATATCATTCACTATGACCAAGTAGACTTCATCCCAAGTATGCAGGGGTGGTTCAATAGATGGAAATCCATCAATGTGATCCACCATATTAACAAACTGAAAGAAAAAATAAAACACATTATAATCTCCTTATATGCTGAAAAAGCAATTGACAAAATCCAACATCCATTCATGTTTAAAGTATTGGAGAGATCAGGGATACAAGGCACATACCTAAACATAGTAAAGGCAATATACAGCAAGCCTAAAGCCAACATCAAACTAAACAGAAACAAACTTAAATCAATCCCACTGAAATCAGGGACAAGGCAAGGCTGTCCACTCTGTCTGCATATCTTAAACATAGTTCATGAAGTCCTTGATAGAGCAATAAGACAGTTGAAGGAGATCAAGGGGATAGAATTCAGAAAGGAAGAAGTCAAAGTATCACTATTTGCAGATGATATGATAGTATACCTGAGTGACCCCAAAAATTCTACCAAGGAACTCCTACAGCTCATAAACACCTTTAACAAAGTGGCGGGATACAAAATTAACTCAAAATAATCAGTAGCCCTCCTGTATACAAAAGACAAAATGGCTGAGAAAGAAATTAGGGAAACAACACCCTTCACAATAGCCAGAAAGGACATAAGTACCTTGGTGTGACCCTAACCAAGCAAGTCAAAGACTTGTATGAAAAAAATTTCAAGTCTCTGAAGAAAGAATTAGAAGAAGATATCACAAGATGGAAAGATCTCCCATGCTCATGGCTTGACAGGATTAACATAGTTAAAATGGCCACCTTACCAAAAGCGGTCTACAGATTCAATGTAATTCCCATCAAATTAGCAACACAGTTCTTTACAGATTTTGCCAGAAAAATTCTGAACTTCATATGGAATAATAAGAAACCCAGAATTGCTAAAACAATCTTCTGCAATAAAAGCTCTTCTGGAGGTAACTGCATCCCTGATCTCCAGCTGTACTATAGAGCAACAGTAATAAAAACTGCATGGTACTGGCATAGAAACAATGGTGGATCACTGGAACAGGATAGAAGACCCAGAAATAAACCCACACACTTATGGACACCTGGTTTTTTACAAAGATGCCAAAACCATACAATGGAAAAAAGATAGCATCTTCAACAAATGGTGCTGGTCTAACTGGATGTCTACATGTAGAAAAATGCAAATAGATCCATATTTATTACCCTGCACAAAACTAAAGTCCAAGTGGATCAAAGACCTCAGTATAAAACCAGATACACTAAACCTGTTAGAAGAAAAAGTGGTAAAGAGCCTTGAACTCATTGGTACAGGAGACAACTTCCTGAAGAGAACACCAACAGCATAGGATATAAGAGCCACAATCACTGAATGGGACCTCATGAAACTGACAAGCTTCTGTAAAACAAAGGACACTCTCATCAAAACAAAACGACTGCCTACAGATTGGGAAAGGATGTTCACCAACTCTATATCTGACACAGGGCTAATATCCAGTATATATAAAGAACTCAAGAAGTTAAAGAGCAACAAATTAAGTAATCCAATTAAAACATGGGGTCCAGAGCTAAACAGAGAATTCTCAATATAGAAATATCAAATGGTAGAGAAACACTTAAAGAAGTGTTCAGCATCCTTAGTCATCAGGGAAATGCAAATCAAAATGACCCCAAGATTTCACCAATCACCCATCAGAATAGCTAAGATGAATAACTCAAGTGACAACACATGCTGGAGAGGATGTGGAGAAAGGGGAACCCTCCTCCATTGCTGGTAGGAATGTAAACTTATACAACCACTTTGGAAATCAATCTGGCACTTTCTCAGACAATTAGGAATAGTGCTTCCTCAAGATCCAGCTATACCACTGCTAGGCATATATCCTAAAGACGCTCAAGTAAACAAGGACATCTGCTCAACCATGTTTGTAGCCAGCTTCATTCGTAATAGCCAGAAGCTGGAAACAACCCAGATGGCCTTCAGTTGAGGAATGGATACAGAAATTGTGGTACATCTACACAATGGAATATTACTCAGCAATAAAAAACAAGGAAATCATGAAATTTGCAGGCAAATGGTGGGAACTGGAAAAGGTCATCCTGAGTGAGGTGTCCCAGTAGCAGAAATACACACAGGGTGTACACTCACTCATACGTGGATATTAGACATATAATATAGGATGAACATATTAAAATCTATACACCTAAGGAAGCTAATCAGGAAGGAGGACTCTGGCTAAATTGTTCAATCCCCATTCAGAAAGGCAAGGAGGATGGACATAGAAGGAGGGAGAAAACCTGGAACATGACAGGAGCCTACCACAGAGGGCCTCTGAAAGGCTTTACCCTGAAGGGTATCAGAGCAGATCCTGAGACTCACAGCCAAACTTTGGGCAGAGTGTCGGGACTCTTATGAAAGAAGTGGGAGATAGTAAGACCTGGAGAGGACAGTACCTCCACAAGGACAGCAACAGATCCAAAATGTCTGGACACCGGGTTCTTTTCTGAAACTGATATTCCAGCCAAAGACCACTCATGAAGATGCACTGGAACCCCTGTACAGATGTAGCCTATGACAGTTCAGTATCCAAATGGGCTCCATAGTAATGGGGACAGGGACTGTCTCTGACATGAACTGATTGGCCTGCTCTTTGATCACCTCCCCCTGAGGGGGGAGCAGCCTTAGCAGGCCACAGAAGAAGACAATGCAGCCACTCCTGATGATGAGGCCTGATAGACTATGATCAGAGGGAAGGGAACAAGGACCTCCCTTATCAGTGTACTGGAAGAGGGTTACAAGTGGGGAATAGGGTGGGTGGGATTGAAAGGGGAGGACAGAGGTAACTACAGGGAGGATATAAAGTGAATAAACTAATAAAAATTAAAATAAGTAAATAAAATATTAAGCAATTGGCATGTGCTATAGGAATAGTACAAAGAAAAATATATCCTCAACCCTTAAATAAAGGATATTGTATTAAAAAATAATTCCATATGGTTCACATATAAAATCAAGAATGGACAGGACTGTGGTATTAAGAGGCAATGGTAGTAGTTCTCGTTTAGTGACAGAAAAGGGGGTGGGGTGAATATGGAGAAAAATGGTTCTTGGTATGTGCACTTTTGTCCTATATATCTGCCCTGGATACTGGTATTTTGTGTAGTTCCAGATAGCCATGATTTTGGCTTTGAATTTATTGAGTATATAGCAAGAAAAAGTAAAAAAAAAATAGTATTAAGTAGCAGAAAGATGCTACAGATAACTAACAATTTATCCTCAGATCTGGCAGTGACACATCATCATCAGAGACTAGGATAGCCCAATGACAGAGAAAACTAAAGATATCATCAAATTGGAACCTATAAACAGCTGCAGAAACTGACAGGGGAAAGCTCATTGAAGCAGTCAGAGGGAAATCCTGATTGCCTGTCTTGGAACACAGAGTGTTCCTTTTGGGCCCTCAAGTAAAACAGCAAATAACAGCAGGTAGATAATGTCTGCAAAGGAGCAAGACAGGTACTTAGACTCATTCCAGCAGACATGACTGGGGAGGCCTTGAAACAGCCCTGCTGGAGTTCCCCTTTCAGAGTTCCAGGCAGAGTAGAGCATCATCTCCCCCATGAGTTCCTTCCTGCCTTCCTTCTCGTGGTCAGTTGTTATTATGTTATGGCATCAACAGTAGTAACTTTGGTTGGAACTCTTCTCAGGAACAGTGTATTTACTCTTGGGCTGTGTGACTGCTCTCCCCTCTCACTATTACACACCCAGAGGGCCAGCCCATCCCTGGACAAGGAGTCTTAGAGGACATCTGCAGTAAATGTGCTGGAGTCTGGGACATGAAATCCCTGACTCTTAAGAGTTCAATTTCAGCAAGCTTAAACAGCACGACACAGTTTACCAAAATAGCATACATTACATCTGGTTGCTCATGGGCATTAAACACACACACACACACACACAGACACAGACACACACACACACACACACACTCACACTCACACTCACACACTCACACTCTCACTCACTCACTCACTCACTCACTCACTCACTCACTCACTCACTCCTCACTGGAAAGATGGCTTGGTGGGTTAAGAGCACTTGTTGCTTGTGCAGAGAACCCAAGTGTAAGCCCTGTGACAGCACTCACCTCGAGTGGCTTACAGCCACCTGTACCTCTGGTTCTAGGGGATATGAACCCTTTGTGGCCTCTGTAAGCAGCAGGCACAGATGTGATACATATGCATACCTGCAGACAGCACTAATACACATTAAAAATAAATCTTTTTTAAGTAAAGAACAATGTCAAGTTCTGAGAGGTCCCAAACCTTCACAGGGATAGCAAAGGACAGTGTCGTGAAGACAGAGAAGAATGTGATGTTCTCCTTTTCCTGCAGGGTAGCAGACTGTCACCTTTCACCTGATGTCTGCAAGATATTTGCCTCCGTCCTGATCAGCAGCAAGACATTGAAGCATCTTAACTTCACATCCAATAATTTGGACAAAGGAATGCACTCACTGTGTAAGGCTTTGTGCCACCCAGACTGTGTGCTAAATGGCTTAGTGTAAGTGGCCTTGAGTAGTGGGGGCACTGTGGAGAACTGTGGGAATAGTTTGAACATGGACTCTGTTTATTAAAATCTGCCTGTTGTGTGGCTAGGGAAATGAGTATTTTCTAAGCTAACTACAGAAGGACACTATTTGTCTGTAACCCCAGAGCTGAGGGTTGAAGGATCAGCCATATTTGTGAGCTCCAGTCTCAAACAAGGCAGAGAACAACCGAGGAACACACTGACACCAGCCTCTGGCCTCCACACACATGCAGCATGCACACTGTTAAATTTTGGAGGCAGTATAGAGAGGCAGGAGGTAGAAAAGGAGACAAGCCTAATCTCAACAGACCAGACTGTTTCTTTCAGTCAGTGAAGGACAGTTTCCTGTGTTGGGGAAAGCTGGCTGTGACTCTTGATAGGGGTGGTGTGTGAGTAGTGTTTACATCCATAAGAGGACTGGACAGTTCTCCAGCCTCTTTTTCCTTCAGCTTAGAATGCAGCCAAAGAGTGCTTGGGAGGTTCTTCATTCTTTCTTTCCTTAAATTGTCATACCTTTCTATGGTTACCTGCTAACCAGAGCATCATCATTTGTAGGAATCCTGTCCAGTGACCGAGGCATTCTCTTACATACCACACAGAGAAATTAGTTTTAAGAGCTTCCCATTGATACAGTCTTAGAGCAGAAATTTCAAAGCATAAACTTAAGAAATATAGGCTAGAGGGATGGCTCATTGGCTAAGAACACACACACTGCTCTTCCAGAGGACCCATTTGCTCCCTAGCACCCATGACAGGCAGCTTAACAACCACTTGTAGCTCTAGGTCTGAGGAATCAAACAACCTCCTCTGGCCTCTGCAGATACCCACACGTAGCACTCACCAATACACATAATTAAAAATCTTTAAAAGACATGTATACCCCACGCTTGGTTGTACATCCCTGTAGTTCCAACTGTGCAGAAGGCTGAGACCGGAGGATTTCAAGTTCAAGGACTACCTTTGAAACAGCTCATGTAAAGGTGGAAGGAGAGACCAGTTCAACAAAGCTGTTCTCTGACCTCCACATATACACTGTGCTATGCCCATACACATCATATATGCATACACACTATAATGATTATTCAAAAATTTTAATTGGTTCTCAACTTTACATTTGTAGATTCTTTTTCTTGTTGTTATTCCCTAATCAACACGATACACCATTTAGTTGGTATACAGGAGAGTATGGACAGGTTCTAGACACATACTGAACTGTTGTAACAGCTCCTGTGTACCTGTGGAGTTTAGCACCCATCGTGACTCTGACCCCACATGCACACACTATGCTGCTGCCCATAGATACCAAGGAATTAATGTAGTAAATTTCAAAAGATGTTAGACTAGATTGAAGTGTCAATAACCTCTATTTGCATGCAGAATGGGCTCTAAACTGGGACAGTCACAGAGTAACGTGCCTATGAGTACCTTGACCTCATTTCATTTGAATGAGCCTCTCTTGTAATCGTGGCTACAATAAGTATGTAAAGTAACATAGAAGAAAATTAGGGTCTTTGGAACCCAGGAGGAAAAGGCTTGCTGCTTTGGAGGAGGCCAAATTATTATAATTTTTCATATTATGTATTCCTATATATTTTATATTGTGATGGTTAATGTTAACTGTCAACCTGGCACAATGTAGAATCATCTGAGAAGACAGTCCCAATGAAGGATTATCTAGATCAGGGGGGTCTGTGGGCATGTCTGTAATTGTCTTGGTTATGTTAATTGATGTGGAAAGACCTGGGCTACTGTGGGCAGCACCATTCCCTAGGTTTGGGTCCTGGATTACATAAGAGTGGAAAACATAGGCATGCATGTATGAATTCTCTGTGCCCTTGACTCTAGATGTGCTAGAACCAGCTGTTCAAAGTTTCTGCTTGACTTTGCACACTGAGACTGCAATCTGGAATAGTGAGCTAAAATAGAGCCTCACTCCCTGAAGTTGATTTTTGTAAGGATATTTTCATCACAGCAACAGAAATGAAACTAAACCACATACATTTTTTGAAATATATTTTCATACTGTTCATTAAACAAGACAACATGGGTTTGGTTACCTATATTACAATAATCATGTAATATTAAAAGCATCATTAAAGCCAGTAATTGAGGCATTATTAATATAAAGAATTTAGGTTAGCATCATCCAAACATAAGCATTTTCAATGAATTTACTCAGTTTCAATGCTAGATCTGACGTGAGTCAGAAGAAACAAAGGGAGATGTGTTAGGATAAGCCAGAAGTTCCTTGTCTAGCTTGAATATTTTGTTACTGTTATTATACATAGAGTTGTGGAAATGTTACATTTTCCTCTTCACATGCTGTCCTTTCCCTCCTACAGGTTGGCCAACTGGGAACAAAACCCTGAGCTACCTGGACATCAGCTCCAATGACCTAAAGGATGAAGGACTGAAAGTTCTCTGTAGGGCTTTGACTCTCCCAGACAGTGCCCTGAAGTCTATACGGTAGATTTCATTGTTCTTTGTCTGAGCCCTGTCTAGGAATCTTTAATGTCTATGCCTGAGAATATGGAGGTTAGAGTTACTCACCCCAGGTTCCTGAAGACGCTTTCCTGTGCCTTGACCTCTGTGTCAAGGTTTTGGTCTGAGCTGGGCAGCCACTCAGAATATAGACACAGGGACTGAGAGAAAGAATGGAATTATGACTTGAGTCCAGGGGGTGGTTAAGATGTTTGGAGTAGTGCTAGAAGATGAGTGGATATCATCAGATGGAATACTGGACCCCATATTTGGATGGAAGGTTATATTAGTGATATAGCTCATCACTGTGCCTGGGATGAGATACCTGACTGAAGCAACTTAAGGGAGGCAGAGTTCATGGGAGGGTACAGTATGGAAAGGTCTAATCTTCCCTGGTGCAGAAAAAAACATGGTGGGGTGCCCTCATGGTGGCAGGAGTATGTATAAAAATTCTTCTCATTTTTGTGTAAGCAGAGAGTGGAACCAAAATCGGGCTCTAGGATATAACCCTAGACACAGGGGCCCACATCTGTCTGTTAAACCCCCATATTCTAGATGTCCCAAAACCTCCTAAAATGGTGCCTCCATATGAGGACTAAGTGTTTAAGCACATGAGCCTGTAGGAGACATTTCAAATTAAAAAAAGAGTAAGACATGAAATAGGGGACCCAAAAATACATGTGTGAATTAGTGTGCGTAAAAATTCTACCTTGGAAAGAATAAACAGGAGTGTGACTGAAATGAAAGGGAAATAACAGAACTCTTCATTTCAGCTTATAAGTCATAGGTATTTGGAAAGTTTAGTGTGGTGGTTGTTTGGACCATGCCAAGTGGATTTGTATCCCAAGGTCAACTGACTTCCTGTGAGAAAACCAGACATGGGACTTGGGAGGACAATGTCACCTAATCTGTTCTGAAATCTCAAGAGTCACTACATTTTGTCGTGTCTAGAAGGGGGACAAGGAACAAAATGAAAACTCAGGGTGGAATGTGTGTGGTTTTCTCTCTAATGGGTTTGGCTATTTTAGAAACCAAAAACAACTAAAGATGTCAGATTTGATATATTTTAAGGACATTAAAATTATCTATATTCCCTAACACTATAAAGAATGAAGAAAAAGTAACCTAAAAGTATAAACCATTTGAGGTCTCTAAAAAAGCTGTTGGGAGAGGGAAAATAGGTTTTCTCCAATGAAATGACACCCTAAGGTGGGCCCCATAGTCCAGAGTAGTTGGATAACACAAAATGGACTCCATGTTTTATGGGCCTTTTTGGTTGGTTGGTTTGTTTGGCCAAACTTGACTAGAATAAGACCCTAACATACACACACAAGTAAAAACTGCATGTTACTTTCAAAAATCAAAAAATGCAAACACTTTAAGAATATGAACTGTCAAGCCTCACTCAGTATTTTCACAGGTTAAATAAATAGTTGTGTGAGAGCTGGAAGAGTGGCTTAGCAGTTCAGAGCACAAGGTTCCCTTGAATGGAATCTAAGCTTGTTTCCCAGCGCCTAAGTCCAGAGACTTAGTACCTTCTGTAACTCCAGCTCCAGGAAACCAGATCACCTCCTCTGGCCTTTGAAGGCATGTACTTACATGTGGCAGGCACACACACAAAGACAATTTTTTTTGAAGCAGTGTCAGATTCATACTGGAATTTGAGAAATTAGACCGAATGGGCTGCTCAGAAACAAGCCCATCCACGGGTGTTTGTATAATGCAAGTGGATCAACGATAGTTCAGGAAAAGAGCGGGCTTTGCCGAGTGCTCCCAGTCAGCCACCGTCCGTGTGGATGGCGAAGGCAGTAACGCTGTGCCATCTTTCTTCTGTGACGTAAACGTGTGGAAACCTTGAAAGCTGGACAGTAGCCACCCCACCCCTGCCGTACCCACGGTTTGGATTACCCACAATGCTCCACTCCGTTTTCATATGAGTTACCCAGTCAATCATTGCTCAGAAGTATTAGTTAACATAGTATTTTAATATCACTTAACCTAATGTTTTAACCTTTAAAAAGATTTTTTTACTTCATTTTATGTGTGTGTGCTTCTGAGAGTGTGTCTGTACACCATGTGCATGCATGAGAAGGCTGGAAGCAGAAGTCCGCTGCCCTGGAAGTGGAGGTGTAGGTGTTTATGAGCTGCCTGATGTGGGCTCTGGCAGCCATACCTGGGTCCTCTGCCAGCGCAGTGTGCTCTTAACCTCTGCGCACCTCTCCAGCCCCGTTTAAACTTTTATTACAGTGTATTGCTGTTGATATCTTAGTGTGCCTGCTTCGGTTCGTTGTCTGTGGACCACTGAGAAGATGGTATTCCTGAGAGGCTCCGTGCTGTGTGCAGTTTGGGGCATCACTGTGTCTTGTGAAACACTTCCTCTTTAGATCAGGGAGTAACCACTGCATTGTGATTTTTCTCTTGCAGTTTGAAAAACTGTCTTATCACCACCAGTGGCTGCCAGGATCTGGCTGAAGTCCTCAGCAGCAACTGGAACCTGAGGAGCCTCCAGGTTTCAGACAATAAGCTGGAAGACGCTGGTGTGAAGCTGCTGTGTGATGCTGTGAAACATCCCAACTGCCATCTAGAGAATCTCGGGTGGGTGTCCTCAGAGTCAGAGCTATGCATTTGAGGGTGACAAAAGGTGAGCGATTAATGTGCAGGAAGAGAAATTAAAACTTCGTTGGAGGGCTGGAGAGGTGACTCAGCAGTTAAGAGCACTAGCTGCTCTTCCAGATGACCCAAGTTCAGTTCTCAGCACCCACCTGGCAGCTCACAACAGTCTGTGACTCCAGTTTCAGGGGACCAAACACTCTCTTAGAGACATACATGCAGGCAAAACACCAACGCACATAAAATGAAAATAAATTAATAAAAAAACCCTCCATAGGGACATGGTAGCAGTTAGCAGTGGTTGTATTACTAAGCCCCTCCCAAACCTCACAGCCTGGAGACAGTGAGTCTTTACTGCTGGCTGATCACTAGTCTAGCCAGGTTTGATTTATCTCAACTGGCATACTTTTACAACATGATAGGGGACAGCCTAACTTTTGGGAATGGAGGCAGGGTAAATAGATGGTGCATGGACAGATATGTAGATGGATGGCAAGATGGATGGATGACTGCATAGATGGGTGGGTGATTGATGGTTGCATGCAAGGGGTAGATGCTTATTACATGGATGGGTGTATATCTGGATGTGTACACGCAAGGGTGGGTGCGTGATTGACAGTGTCAGGAATAGATGTATGGTTGTAGTTATGGATGGAAGCATGCATAGGATAGATAGCTGTTACGTGGATGGGTGCATATATGGATACTGGATGCATGCATGGGTGGTTGGATGGATGCATAGATGGTTGTCCACTGGGGGTGACAGGAGTGACTAAACCCCATATCATTTATTTGTTTGTCAGGACTAGCTAATGTGGCAACTGCTTTGGCTGCCATGATAAAAATCAATTAAGTGACTCATACAGTGGAGATTTGTTGATAATCACGGAGGTAGAGACTAGCAGTGAGACCATGCTATCAGCAGCGATGGTTCCTTTAGAGGACCAAGAGGGAATATGTTCCAGGCTTTTTTCATTGACTTGAAAAAGGCTGTCTCCTCCCTGTCTTCACAATTTAAATCCCACCCTGTTGTACTTATTTTAACTTAGTTGCATCTCTAAAAACTTTATTTTAAAATTCAGTCCCATGGGACACTGAGGATTAGAACTTTAACATAAGAATTTTGAAGGGATGTAGTTTAGTCCATAGCAGAAAGAATCTCAAGGGTTCAGATCAAGCAGTATCAAAGTGCTTGAGGTATAGGCTCAGAACTCAGCAACCCGTGCTTCATTGTATTACCCAGCACAAGGTACAATGTCAGCCCACGTTCAAGGGCTGGGACAGCAGACTGTTAGTGGAACTATTAGTTCACCACAGACATGGATATGAAGAATGGACAATTGTGGTCACATCTGCCACAAAAGGGAGAAGTTGATGTTGTGAATGTTGGGCTTTTAAGAGACTGTCCTTGGAGGCTATGGAGTGAGTGTAGGGTAAATGACTAAATCACCTCTCACCCTTCTGCCTTCCCACCCTCATGTGGAACTGTTCCTTTCTGTTGCAGGCTGGAAGCCTGTGAGCTGACTAGTGCCTGTTGTGAGGACCTTGCTTCTGCTTTTACCCAGAGTAAGACCCTGTGGGAGATCAACCTGCTGGAGAATGCCTTGGACCACAGTGGGTTGGTTGTATTGTGCGAGGCTCTGAAACGTCGGCCGTGTGCCCTGCATGTACTTGGGTGAGCTGCCCTCTGTTCTTGGTGGGAGGTCCTTAGGGCTAAGAAGGAATTAGCTAAGATCTTAAATGTGCAGCTAATAAATATAATTAAGATAGAAATACAAGCTAGGGAGATGGCTCAGTCCATAGAGTGCTTCGCACACAAGTATAAGGTCCATAGTTTGATCCCCAGAGACTACATGAAGAAGCCAGGTATGGGGTTTGCACTTGTAATGTCCGTACTGGAGAGGGAAAGACCAGAGGATACTTAATGCTTACTGGCCAGCCAGTCTAGTCAATTTAGTGAGTTCCAGGCCAAATGAGAGTCCTTATCTCAGAAATCAAGACGGATACCTGAGGTTGACCTCTGGCCTCTCCATGCTTACATACACACACACACATCCAAAATGCAAATAAATCAATAATAAGATGGTTGGTCACACCAATAATAATCATGCCACTGTTACACCACCAAGCATATCTTGTCATGAAACCATACCCCTCGCTGAGGGACTGTGGCGGTTAATTTGTTTGGGGAGGGACGCCATAAAATAATTTTAAAATTAAATTAAAAATAAATTCAAATAATGTTCTCTCACTTACGGGTGTTGTTGCAGGAGTGTTAGATTAAATATAAAGCCCTCCCTTGCCCTGTGACTGGTGAGTGCCCAAGTACTGATGGCATTTGGTACTATTAAAATGATGATGCATAAATATACTTATATATTTATAACTTGTATAACTTATGTTTATGCAGACAGTCCTGACTTAAGATTGCTTGGACCTATAATATGGAGATCATTCATTTTTTCTTCCAATACAGTAACCAATAATTATATGAGATATTCAGCGTTTTAATGTAAGGTGGTCTTTATGTTAGATGATTTGATTTTGCCCACCTGGATACTAATGTGGGTGCTCTAAGAACATTTAAGATAGGCAAGTGAAGGTGGTACACTTGTAGATAAAGGCTTATATTATGCATTTGCCATTTAAGTATGTGATTCAGACTACTTTATATCAGCATCAGATACATATAATGTATATCATTTTATAAATATGCTATACTTTATGTAGTATTTTACAAATATTTGTGGTTAATTTTCCTCCTATGATCCCAAATCCATAGGAGAGCAAGGTAGTTTTATGAAGGTATGGTAGGGATTGTGTCAAGTGTGGAGACCAGAGGGCAACCTCTATAGCCATCCATCATCAGATGTCATCCACCTCAGTTCTTTTTGAGATGGGATCTCTCACTGGAACATAGGACTAACCAATTCTATAAAGCTGGCTGGCCAGCAAGGACTAGGGACCTGCCAATCTCTGCTTCATTGGTTCTTCGACCACAGGTATATGCCACTATCCCAAGCTTTTTTGTTGTTTTTTTCCAAGACAAGGTTTCTCTGTATAATAACCCTGCTTGTCCTAGACTCGCTTTGTAGACCAGGTTGGCCTCAAACTCATAGAGATCCGCCTGCCTCTGCCTCCTGAGTACTGGGATTAAAGGTATGCACTACCATGCCCACCTTTTTTAACATGTATTTTTGTGTTATGTGTATGGGTATGTTCTGATATATAAACATGTGGTACTCATATATGAATACTCATATATGAGTACCACATGTTTGTGGTGCCTGAGGAGGTTACAAGAGGGTACTGAGTCCTCTGATACTGGATTCACGGACAGTTTTAAACTGTCATGTGAGTGCTGGGAACCCAGGCTCTTTGGAAGAGCAGTTAGTGCTGTTAACTACTGAGCCACCTCTCCAGCCCCTATTCCCAGATCTTTATGTGGATATTTGGGATTAGCATCAGGTCCTCATGCTTTCATAGCAAACACTTCAATGGGAAAGCTGTCTCTCCAGACCCTCAAGGTCAGGGTCATTTTTTGTTGCTATTAAGCCACTCACTTATAGAAAAGTAAAGCCTTATTTTGATGTCCAGCCTGTTGACACTGCAACATGGCTGAAGAAACACAGTTCACACTCAAACACTATTCAGTTGGTTTAAAAAAAAAAAACAATCTTACTGTTCAGTAAATTCATAATTTTGTGCTGGACCTTTCATGGCTGCCTTTTTTTTTTTTCATGTGACTAGTGGGCTGAAGGTTGAATATGTGTTGGGTTAAAATGTTTGTAACTCTAACAGTCTCTCCTGGAAGGAAGACACAGGCTCACTTCCTTAAGTTCTTGCAAGTTCCCCAACCCCCTGGAAATTCAGAGTGCCTGCAAGATTCTTTCTTACTTGGTTTTAGCTAGAGGTTGAGAGGGTACTGAGCTGGAGTGGATGCAAAGTGAAATAGAAGAGGTGAGTTATCTGTCATTTTCTGAGCCATCCAGTCTGCGTTTGCTTCCAATTCAGCCATGCTTACTCTGCACCCTGAGGCAAGGTATCAGTTCCTCTGATTATCAGTCTTTGATATGCACAGTAAGAGTCATTATTTCACATGAGACATTCAAAAATATATAGGTGTTATATCATGTGGTAGATATTGTGAAGCCAAGTAAGTTTTCTTTGTTTCTTCTTGTCCTCCTACACCACCGTGGAAAGTCTGAGAGAGACGTGTACTGCAGTAAGATATGTCCAGAAGCATGGTTCGTTCCTACAGCACAAAGCTACCTGAGACATAAAATATACATAAAATGCTGGTTTGGATGAAAATGCCTTCCATAGGCTCAGATGCTTGAGTACTTGGTCCCCAGTTGATTGTGCTATTTGGGTAGGTTTAGGAGGTATGACTGCACTTGAGAAAGTGTGTCACTGGGACAGGCTTTGAGGATAAAAAGCCTTGTACCGTTCCCAGTGTTCTCTCTCTGCTTTATGCTTGTGGTTCAAGATGTGAGCAGTCAGC